ATGAAGCGGCTGCTGGAGCACCTTCTGCCGCCAGAAAAGCGCATCGAGAATGTATTTAGATCGGTGGATGCAAACGGCGACGGCCACCTGTCCTACCAGGAAGTCTGCAGACTATTGGAGACATGCCTGGGAGGGTGAGCGCACTGGCAGAATATTGACTATGTTTCATTTTACAGTTCACTTGCGACTGACGGCCAGCAGCGCAGAATGCACGTCTGCGGCCGCCGTTGTGGCTGCAGATCGGAGGCGTGCGTGACAAAGCGGAGAGCCCACGGAACCGCGTTGTGCACCGGTCGATCGCCGATCAGGATCAGTGGTTCTGACAGCTCAACGCGCGCTTCGGCCGCTCGTAATCCCAGAAATCGTCGAAGCTGACAATCGCGGCTTTTTCAGAAGGGACCGCCGTCATGGAGAGGTGGCGGCAAATGTTAAGGCCACAGAGGAAAAGTTCGGAGAAATGTCGTCGCCGCCTCCCTGTGCAATAGCAAAAAGATACATGGAAGCTGCTGTGTGGCCATGTGCCATGTGGAGCGTTTCGGGCGACGATCGCGCCTGTTTGAAAGACGCTGCCGTGGGAGACGTTGACGGCGCCCTTGCAAAACGCCACGGCACCGCCGCAAAGGCAGCTGAGGTTTCCCGCGTAGCATCTATACCCTCCTCCGATCGTGTCTGGCGGCATTGATGCCGTTGTGTGCGGAGACGCTCGTGCACCAAATAAGGCATTAATTGGAGATCCGCAGCGAACAGAGACTTTCCGAGCACGTACCTGCTCCGCGGCTAGTCCTCAGACCCCAGGGAACCTGTAGCAACAGCGAATCCCAGACATATACCTGCTTCTCTGTGAACGCTGGCTGGGAATCCGCAAACCTCCGGTTTTAGATGTACAGCAGGGCGGCATTTCTGCCTGTTGTTCGCACATTAGCAAAAAAAAGGACCAATAACACTTTTGCGAACACACATGAAACACATTTCATCAAAGTTCTGCATGCTAAAAACACAAGAATAACCCAAACCCGCACACTTTGTACACGTTTAAACACGTGCTATTTGGCACTTTTTTTCCCAGTGACAGCTATAGGTGCCGATTGCGGCGCTAGAGCCTGAGCGGGGTAGGCTTCTCCATCCTTCTTGTAAACGCGGAATCTGGCAAATCTTCGGGCAAAGCAGGGGCAACGTCGTAGGCCGCCTAGAGGGGATGAAGCAGCTCATTTTGAATTGATTCTTTCAGTCAAAGTTCTGGGCCTCATGTCTCAGATTCCGACCTCCATTGGGAGTCATGTGTCGATTTTATTGTGAACATTATATTAGAATAAAGTAATTAAACTTTGGACAGCGTAGACACGTCTATTTTATTGGCTGCTTGATTGCCTCGAATAACCCAAATGGAAGTCAAACCATGCGTAAAGGGGATTTTCACCAAAGCAAGTGCAAGCCGCCATGTCGAAGCCGATTCACGTTGGTATCTATTCTCGTCATATTCGATGACAAAAACTTGCAATTAATTGGGACCACTACTGTGAGAGGGGTTCAATGGCGGTGGTGGTCGTGGCGCGGAGGTGGGTTAGGAAGATCGCTGAGGCAATCTCCCGTGCTACAGTATATAAACCCGTCATGGTAGAGAACAAGGGAGTGGAGGCAATTGCGCAAGTGGCGATGTGAGTGGTATGGGAACGGAAGTCAGAGAGATGACCCACTGCGGCCGTGTAAACAAACGGCTCATGACAGAGTACAACAACGGGGTGATGGAAAGCGACTAGAAGAGGATGACAGCAGTTCGCAATGATTTGGATGCGCAACAGCACTTTACACCTTGGCTCAACTGGGCGCGGATTTTCTCGATTGTGTAGGTGGCATTTGTGCCAATATTCTGCGAAATCTTGGATGTGTTCAGCTCTTATTCGCTTTCAGATTAGTCACTTAGCCACCTGTCGATTGTGTGATTTCAGAAGGGAGGACGGAGATCCTACAGTACTTGCTGATAGATTGTCAGCGATTGCCCAGGGCTCGTTAGAGTTGGTGTGAGCTGCCACAAGGCTGTTCGTGACTTGGTGCGCGCAGGCGTTCACCGTGGCAGGTTCTGCCACTCGATTTAGAGAGCGCAAGGTTACAAACTTGGCTGAATTGAGCCAGATGGTGTTCAAGCATTGGGGCTTTAATGTCACCTCGTTTTCGGGCGTCAGAGCCGTCGGCCGTTTTGGCTGTCTGGCCAGCAAGTTCGCCCCGCTGGCCCCGCCGCCCCAACCTCTCCCACCTAGCGCTTTGTTTATAATCGGGAGAGGGTGAAATGGGCGGCTGGCAACATGGGCAACGTAGGCATCTTTGGAAACCTGGCAGCGCCGAGGTTGCCAAAGCAACAACGGCAACAATGGGCTCTCGCCTCCCATTCCCGACTCCCAGCCCCATTCACCTCTCCAAGAGCTTTGAGAAAGAGGTCCCTTGTTATTCCTGGCAAAATGGTTGTGTGCATCGGTAACGTCGGGAGATTGGTGCCAGCACTGCGGCGTCGATAGTGCCGACGCAACTGAGGGTGCCGACGGCCGTTTTTCCCTAGCCTATGAGCGACAATTATGCAGGGAGCCCAGTTGAGTGGTGTACTGAGTGCCCGGGTAGAAGCGACCTATACTTTTGGGTATTACTGCAAATGCAATTTCGCAATGTTGTGGCTAACGTTTCCATGAAACAAATCCTTTTGCAACTCTTCTTGAAACCCACAACAAAGGCGCATCAAACTAAAAGACAGCTGTAAGTAGAACAGTGCATCGGCGCATGACTTTGAATTCACAGATATACCGTAGTTGCTCATGTGTACCGGTTTCGCCAGGTAAAGGTAATTTTTCTTACTATCTTACTAGATAGTTTCTTCCTATCTTTAAATTACTATCGGTTGTCTAATGTATGCAAGAAGTGCACTGATTGGTGTGGGGCGTATAATATGAACAAATTTACAACATCCAAATGCAAAACTGGGTTGTATGTCCGTTCCATCGCTCGAATGTGTCTCCTAATGTCGCGCAATTAAAAAATTGCAGCATTTTGTGACGCTGACAGGCGAATCTTCTAGAATTTTGGTGAGATGAATGCACTCTTTTGCTGTGTTGTGCAGGCAAGATTCGACTATTAAAATACAGAAATTCTTTGATACCATGGACGCAGACAAGGACGGCACAATTCAAGTGGGAGAGCTCAAAAAGTACCTATTGCCCTACATGACTTCTAAATTCAGTATTTGGCCAGTCAAAATGGATCAGCTTGATGCTCAGCAGCTTCCCAAGGAAGCAAGCAGATTGGTGATCCATCCGCACGCGTTGTGGCTACTGTACTGGGAGGTGCTCATGGGCTGCCTGGCTGTGTTCTTTTTCATTGACATCCCGATCGAGATTGCTTTTGACATAGACGGAGGTGATTGAGATCTGCTCGCCCAGTTAATTTAATTGTTTTTTGCCTGTTGATGGATTCTCCCCATGTGCGGAATGACCCACTTGTTGTGTCAGTACCGCCACCATTTTTTCTCCCCGTTCGCAGGCAGAAAGTCCTCATGCATGTCATTGCGAACGACGTAAGCGAAATGCCGCATGCATCTCGAAGTTGATACAACATTTGCAGTGTAGTAGATTTCATGCGGCTCCATTCGGAGCCGCTCCGACGCTCTGGCGGATTTTGATGGCTCTGATGCGGAATCCAATGTTGCGCGAACGTGGCTGCATGGTGCTTGCTACACCACTTTTTGTCATTGCTTTAATGCCACTGAACCAAACGCCACACATGCTTCTTTACAACTTTAAATGTAACCAGATATCGGGACGGGTTTGTACAGAAGTACTTCTTACACTATCTGACGAACATGTTTTTAATTGCTGCAATGAAAGTACCCACGCATTCACATGTGCAATGTGCGTGTGCGTGAAAGAGCATGTTTGTTTTCCGTTATGTGTAATGTGCGACTTATGCCACAATAAAAGTAACATGAAAGTGCACTGGATTTCTCCTGCAGCAGGAGAAAATATAATTGAGGTTCTGTTCTATTGATTTACATCATAAATGGTTGCCGTATCGAGCTGCGAATTTGCAACTATTGTCTATTGGCGCCTAGCCAATATCGACCCATAAACATAGGACTACTGCAAGATAATCTGAAGCATCTTATCTGCGCTTGCCAGTAAACATTAGATGCACGCGGCGTTTGCGTAAATCAAGGTCACCATCGTAAGTTGTTCGGCAATTAAAAATTGCAGTAATACGGGATAGCGCATCTCAACAGATCTGTCGTTATAACAAACTCTTTGAAAACGCAGGCTGGACGATCAGAATATCCCATCTGTTGACAACTGGGCTACTGCTGCTGAACATGTACTTGAAATTCTTCCGTGCCTACATAAATTCAAAGTCTGTATTGGTTTACGGCCTTCCCCAAATACGCAAACATTATCTGGGTAAGCATGGGAACGACGGGCGGAAAGGTGTATTTTACATTGCAATTCCCAGGTGACCATTACTATTGCAACACCAGTCACAAAGAGCATTGCTGATTGAACACATGTAAATCCAATGTACAAATGTTTCTATTTTTGGATCATATAAATATTTTGCGGAAAAAGCTCTGTAACCAGCCTGAACAATTTCGAAACCTACCGCACGTTTGCCACTCGCTTTTGAAATTGATTTCCGAAGAAAGAGTGACAATATATGCGTTACATTTACGTACATATAAGCGGATGAGAATATAATTCATGGAGTGAACGTACCCCTGCAGCGGAAAATTCGTGATAGCAAGTTGAATTATGCAACGTTACTTGAAATTATCCTGCTTTGTGGAAAAAACACAGTCAGTGAGCACGCAGAGGAGAATACATGCATTTGTTTCCGATTCGAAAAACAATTTAACTGCGTATGTTGCAATATGTCCAGTCATCACAGTGGCACCTATTGATCAATGTCGGGAGCTTTCCTTCATGAAAAATGAGTTGCGTGTCTCCCCACCAACCCTGCCTCCGCTGCCTCAGGTTCTTCTTTCATCTGGGACCTTCTGGCTGCTTTCCCCTACGCCACGCTCATCCTGTCTGCTGGGGGAAAGGACAGCTTTGAGACGTGGTGGCAGCTCCCCAAGCTTCTCCACGTTCGGGTCCTCTACCGCTATTACATTAAGCAACTGGCGGATGTGCGGGCGGACACCCTTACAGGAGGCCTACGCCGTCTGTTTCCCTTCATTATTGCCATATCGCATGTCATGGCGTGCATATGGTGGTTCCTCGGCCGACTAAAGGAGCAGCGTTGGAGCGAAGGAAGTGGGGATGAAGACCCCAGTTGGATTTCCCACTATGAGGGTCTGGGAACTGACAACATAGCTTCGAAAGGCAGTCTCGCTGAGCAGTACCTGTTGAGTTTTTACTACATCACAGTGACGCTTTCTGCCAATGGCTTGGTGGGACGCATGCTGCCGCAAAATATCTGGGAGATATTTTTTGTGTGCGTGCTCATGGTCATCACCTTGACGCTGTATGCGTTCGTGCTGGGGGAGATCTCCAATTTGGTCATGAAGCAGGTAAGATAAAAGAGAGGATCCAACAAAGTGCTCCTCGAAAACTACTGTCTATGGTCGTGTGAAATTCTGTGTATTTTGTGCTTTTCTGTGCAAATAAAGGTGCGTATGCTTCAGGGCATCGATGCTTACGTTGTCTGCGGTAGCTTGTATGTTATGTGCGTTCTTTCATCAGTCTTAAACTGAAATATTGAACAATTGTATATTACAATAGTTTAATGAAAACTTTAACATAACTGCGTGTCTCTCAGGATGAAGATTTGGTTTCCATGAGGTCTCAAGCCATGCTGGTACAAGGCTTTATCAAGAAAAGAGATTTGCCTCCCGATTTGAGAGAAGACATCGAGGCGCATTGCCAGGTCTCAAACAAGAAGGCTGAGGGATATGAAGGAGATTTGTTTTCGATTTTGTCACACTCCCTGCAGATCGAAGTCGCCAAGAGTATAAGCAGGGACCTTTTAGAAGCCACTGACGTATTTGCGGACTGCCAAGCAAATTTTTTGGACTCATTATCAGTGCTGGTTAGGGAGGTCGAAGTCAGTCCAGATCATGTGATATTCAGGTACATCGCCAATAGATCGGCAACTAGCTTCTGATTTTAGTGTTGCAAGGAACTAGATTGCATCCCGAATTTTTACCATGATAAATTGCCTGCTGCATCGTCGATTGTTTATGTATGTTTGCCTTATTATCCCATCCAACTAGAGTAGCTCCGAATTTCGCTCCATTTTTAGGAAAACAAATATGTGAAATTATTCATGCATTGTTCCTTAGCCCAAGGTTATATTTCAATTAGTGAGATGTTCTTAGACAACACAAAATTGGATTCTATTAAGTATACATGCCACATGTAGCATGCCATATTTTTCAAAAAATTGCATTGTTCACAACCAAGGCGAAATTTATCATTTCAGATGTTAAGCTTCGGTACATCGCGTGGGTTCTGTGAGCAGCGCAGTGTATTATAATATTATAATTAATGAGGCAAACCTTTTTGAAACTGGCTCGATTCCCGTAGGCTTCGCCGTACTTCTTGTGTCATTCCGACTTCCGGGCCATGGGAAATTTGCAAAATAATTGTCAAATTTCAATGGAAATACGATTTAAACACATTCACTAATTTCAAGCAATGAGTTTGATTCATATTTTACACTGAAATTTCTGTTTAAATCTATAGGCAATAGGACATTGAGTGACTATGATATTTTGTACCTAATGAAAAAATTCGTATCATATGCACTTCCATTTCATGCATATACATTCCCATTGCATAAAATGTGTGCTGCTTAGGGAGAACGACGTTTGCCGGGAGCTTTTCATAGTGTCGAAGGGATTTGTGGAGTTGATAAAAAGTTCGGACAACGGTGAGGAGATCCGGGTGAGGAAGGGTCGCGGGCATGCCTGCGATGCCATCTCTTTTTTCTTCAACTTGCGGCAGACGTGCGAGTGCAGGGTGCCAAGCAACGCCATATGCCATGGGTTCGTGCTGCAGAAGGAGGACTACCACCAGCTTTTGAAGCTGTACCCCGACGAGGAAGAGAACTTGCACTTGAGCTCGTTGAGGATTTCCGACTTTCGGATACGCAAAAATACGTCCACCTTGTTGAAGTCCACCAGCTTTGACAGGGCTTCTGTCAACACCGAGGGCTCCGCCTACGCGCATGGTGCGGCGATACCTGTATCTCTACCGTGCTGCTCCCATTAATGTAGTATATTGATATTCATGCGAGCAGAGGCGCGCGCGCTCAACACCAATATTGTGGCTCAATGTGTAGCGCATGTGCATTTAAACTATCTTTCGCAGCTCGCAGAGCACATTTAAAAAATTTGGTTCTACGGTTTGTTCTCTTTTCTTGCCTGAGGCAGTGACTATTCACTGTGTATTTTCGGCAAAGCTCGATCACCATCATTCACGTTTTCGCTGACGCAACATCGAATCCACCTGAAGAGTCGCGAACAAACGATCGCGGACAAACCCAAATCCCAGTGATGCCAATTCGCAGATAACATACCCCGTCCTTCCAAGCAGCGTATAGATATGGAAGGCCAAGAGCTCCCAAGGTGAAGCGATCTGTTACACCTTCCGTCCGCCTGTGCGCTATGATGATGAATAGCTGCCCATTATGTTTATGTACCGCAGTGCCTAATATATATTGGACTTACATAAGCCCAATAGGTGCATAATAGGCACTGACAATTGTTCCAGTAGCTCAGATTCGAGCATAGTACATGCGAGAGATTCCTTCATAAGGCGGTGTTGAATGAAAAATGGAGTTTCAAGCTTTGAGTGTTGCTGCCTTCAAATATGTTTCTAGTCAGCATGAATGCTAGTATTATTGAGGGCGACTTGAAATGGGTGATGGCACTAATTCGATATACCCCTGTCTTCAAAAGACAAGAACGCCGCGATGCTGGCAAAGGCAGCCCCCAGCTCCCTTCAAGGTCAGAAATATTTAGGATCGGATTGATTCCTCCCTTAATCCCAAAATATCAGATAACGCACAAGAGCATACAAAATTGGGACAGGAACTGACGAAAATTGATACACGCCATTTGTGGCTATCGTACAAAATGCGACTCAATCGCATTCGTTAGTTTCTGACTTGGTTGACAGCCTCATAAGTGCCTACATTTCAGGAGCACTGCAAGAAATAATGGAGAAAGCATTGAAACAGAAATCAATGGAGAAAATCTGCAAATTGGTGGAATGCGGTGCCAATGGCAATATCCAGGGTCTCCGGCCACATGAAACCAACACAGAGATAAACGTGAACGAAGGCGACTACGACAAGCGCACAGCATTGCATCTGGCTGCCAGCAACGGGCACATGCATGTCGTCAAATATCTGGTGGAACAGCTGAAAGCGGACGTGAACGTGCGCGATCGTTACAATTACACCCCTCTCAATGACGCTGTCCGCCACAAGCACATGGTGCGGTCACTGATTGGACAATCTGTTCCGTAAGAAAATGTGCAAATTTATTTGATCATTTGCGATGCGAATGAAATTTAGTGAATTCGGGTATGAAGCTTTGCTCCTGCAATCGTCTAGAAAGAGGAGTCTGCGTGTTTGTCGTTTGCTGTGTACATTGCAATTGTATAATACTGCATAATGTTGTGTGAAGAACTTTGCGCGCACTTGCTTTGTGCCTCTCTTGCATTACAACAAAGGAAGTAGATATTTTTGCACGCCACTGGGTAAAATTTTGAGGAAATGCCCTAACATTAGGGTACGTGCTGCTGCGAGCTCAATTGTAATTATGTTGATGCAAAAAAGGCAAGCAGGAAATTGGCAGGTTGTGTTTGCAGCTGCATTTCAAGCTTATTATATTGTTGCGTTTTTGGAAGGCTACGATGCATAGATTCTACTTAAGTAAATGTGCATGTATATATATCGTAAGAATTTCTAAGCTTTCAAATCAATTTGCTTTAATCATTATATTCGTAATGTTTCTGTGTCGTTTCATCATTTCATTTATTGCTTCTCAACTGCCGCTGCTTGGTTGTCATTTCATTTCGCAACAACGCACAATCGATTCTCTTTTGCGTTTGAAATTGATAACGTCTTCACTTCAAATGTCCACAAGAGCTAACAGCTGTATGGTGGGCCCTTCCAGGTCATTGCGAACTTCATATATTCAAGAGGTGGCGTCCTGGAGGTGTCGTGTCCCGATACCACGATGTGCCATGCCGCTGCAACAGGAGACTTGGAAACATTGCGTGGAATCTGCAGCTTCGGCGTTGACGCCAACATAAGGGAGCCAAAGCAAAGGACTCCATTGCACCTGGCCGCCGGAGAGGGGCACTTGCACGTGGTCGAGTACCTCCTTTCTCTGAGCAATACGGAAATTAATCCTTGCGACGAAAGCGGAAACACGCCATTGGATGATGCAATTCTGTGCTCGGATAAGCGAATTCAGGTGCAGTGAAGTTATACTTCCTCTGTCCAGAATTAAATGAAACACTCTACCTGGGAGGACATATTTGTACCACGCAATTACTAATTTCCACTGAAAACTTAGCAACAGAATTACAAATGTATTATATGCTGTCAAACTTTTGCACAAAATAGACAAGTATAGTTCAAATGGCAGCAGCTTGGAACCCACAGGTTTGGTCCGAAAACCCACAATATTCTAAATCTCGCAGCCAAACCTCCCGAAAAGGGCCCATCGAACATGCAACTTTTCGACTGACAGTGCGCGGCGCAGATGGGATGTATGCGACCGCTCATATGGCTGCAGCTCGGAGGAGGTCCTCTCAAAGCACAGAAGCCGTGCAACCCGGCTCTGTACCGTTCGATCGTCGATAGCGACCGTAAATTGCATAGCCCATTAAGTGTTCTGGATTTTGGATCGGAAGCCGTGAGATCGATAAATTCACAACAGCGACGTTTTCAGAAGGGGCCGCCACCATGGGAGGTTTGCCCGCAAGTGCTTAGGCCACCAGCAGAAACTTGGAAGAATGCGATTAAAAATTCGCTGCACGGCAGCGAATTTATTGTTGGAAGATTTTAAAGCCCGGGTCCCATCACTTCTAGACACGCAAAATTGTCGGCAACATTTGTGTCCCATCATTATCAAAATGGCGACTGCAAGGCAAGGGGTAAGCGACGCTCAAACGAAATGAGACACTGCAACACTGGGTTGAATTTGCGACCCCATGCGCAGAGCCTTTTGAGGGCGCGCGGCGGCAAAATTCTACGGGCGACGGTCATCACGGACATCTGCAAAGCTTGCATGGAGAATGACGTCGATCAACTGAGAACCTTCCTTTCGAATGGCGTTGATCTCGGCTCTGCAAACATGGAACAGCGAACCGGACTCCACGTGGCCGCCAGCTGCGGCAGCCTGGAAGCGGCTTCCTTCTTGTTGCGCGTTGCGAGAGTGAACGTCAATCCCATGGACTGCTATGATGCGACGCCATATGACGACGCTTTGAGGGAAGGGCACCAGGTGGTGAAGGCATTGCTAGAAAGTTTTGGAGGCCTGCGGGGATCGGA